GGATCTTTTTTTTACAAATTTCACTCTCATTTTTTTGCTCGAATTTCAGTGAAATAAAGGTGTTAACTGGTTTAAGTTGAAAATTTATATTTGGTAATTTAATTAAGATGTCGAAAAGTATCTGAGTTTGAATTTTTCCACTTTTTTCGAAGGCCTGGAACAATAAAAAAGTGTCATTTTTGTTTCACAATCCTTAAGAAACAAATCATTTTGAGCCGTGTCACTTTTGAAGTAAGGAAGCGATACGTACATAAAAATGAAATATAATAAAAATTTGAAAGTTTAAAGAAAAATAGGCAAGAGGATGGGAGAAGGCAGAAAATGTGATGCACTTTGTCCTGAGAAGACACATTCACGCAGGAATTCAGTGCAGTGTGTGACCTATATACTCGTATTCATAATCGTTACAAACAACCGTCGTTTTAACAACGGGAACGAAAGTGACGTCTTCGACGACATTGCTCTTGCCTGGCTGTAAACTGACATTGGCTTGTGTCCAGCAAAGACGGCGCTCTGAATAAAATAGCGATCGAAGGCACACCCTCGTGCAACACGAGTTGCCCTGCAACCACCCCTCCCGAGGAAAGCAAACTTTGTGCCTGCATATTATCGGAATATTTTCTTAACGCATTACAAGCTGCGTGTGTTAAATGTGATACTTATGTATTAATTCTCAGGTAATTTCTAGGGAATATATATAATTGAAGTGAAGTCTAGTATTTTTGCAAGAAGTTATTTTTATCATTTTATCTTTTTCTATCCAGCGCTTAAAAAATTGTAGATAAAAATGGTTACTTTATTCAGTTACGTCGATGTTGAATTTCTTGTATCGATCCATCCGTATCATATTAAAACATTTTTATTTATTTGTGTTATGAACGATCCATTCAAGGTTTTGTTAAAATTTTTTACTGAATTTTTAATATATCAAGTATTAATTCAACATAAATAAAATAATGTAAAGGCAATGTTTTTTGAAACCTAAATCCTAAGCTAAATGAATAAAATATATTAATTTAACGTATTATAAATATTAATTTTAATCAAGAAATATAATTGCTCATAAATAGTGTCATTTTTACATTATTTGAATTAATTTTTTACGTAATATTTATGTTGCTTTTTAACCTATTTATCTTCTATTAAATTAATACAAAAATATTAGTTGATCATTTGGGACATGTGAAATGTGTTAAATTTAACACTCATTTTTCAATTGTGTGACTGCACGATTAACTTCAGGATGTGCAATTTATATTGGGGGATGATTTCTGTTATTATTAATTATACATATATTTAATTATAATTTAAATAGCAATTATTAATGTACATACACATAATTGCATCTCATCTATAATTCCCACTCTTTTTACTTTAGAATTATAAATTACATCCATATCCTGCTTATACAATTATCTCTTCTCTACTTAAAAATTATATTGTAATAATTATATGAATTTCTAATTTTCCACATTTTCCTCGTAAATCTGTGCCGTAGCTTAAAAATTATTCGTCAGATCAATCGAATCGATTGCGAAAAGTCGTTCCCAAGTCTCGGAACGCCGCTAATTTTCGCTCTTTGAGAACATCCTGCTTTTAGTGCAACCCCCCCGTGAAATGAGCTGTTTAATCGCACAACAACCACGACATTACAGTCGCGCTATGTTTTTTTTTCGCACGCACGCGTATATATTATTCGTTTCCGGCTTTCCATCCGCGCGCGATCGATCGGCGTGTATCGATCGTGCATGGCGCGGGTTTGCGATATGCCGTTTGCGACAATTGTTACTGTTACGCGCATCGCCGCGCCCCCTTCCTTTCTTTCGCGGGGAACCCATTGTCACGTGACAAGCGACTACATACTAGCCACTTCCTGCGTGCCCACCTTGCCTTGTCGCGTGCACACGAAAAAGCACGGCAAAGAGCAACATGAGGTAATTTCGCAACTTGGACGACCGCGATAATAACAGTGTGACAAAATAAATTTGTTTGTGATATTGAACACTTAATTTTAAACGCAGTCTCCGATCTCTCGAAGGTCTCCGAACCGGATTTAGAAAGAGAAAGAAACGATGAAATAATAAAGAAAGTATATAGGATAAAATGTGTTCATTTTCGCGACACTTTCTTTTCAAGAAACAATGTATCTTTGTAAGCTTCGAGGCAAAATTCTAATATAATTTGCTTGAAGTTTATTGAAACACATAAGTCTGTTGATTGTCTATTTTAATTCACAGTTGCCTTTAACTTTGAGTCTGGCGTTTTCGATGAAAAGGAGAAACTTGGTTTCAAATATCGAATAATCTTTTATTGAAATCATATTGTATGCGGAACGCTGTTATATATAATACATTAAGTATCTAGAAGAAGAGAGAGAATTATGGAATACGATTTTCTTTTATTAAAATATATATATATATAACTCAATAGATATTGTGACGTAACTACTTTAGTACACGTTAGAGTGATACCAATTATGTTATAGGTAAAAGTAGGTTCTTCGTATATAAAACGAACGTAATTTATAAAAAAACTGAAGAAAGAAAAAAGGTTGCGATTGTGAATCGGGAGAGGGAATATGGAATACTACCAATTAATATATGTATTCATTGAAAACAACTAAATTTTAACAAATATTTGTTTAAATATAAAGAGTTCTATGTAAATATTTATTAAATATAAACATACATGCAGAAAAATATATACTGCACGCAAGTAATAATGACTTCTTCCAAGTATTTCAAAAGTTCATATATCCGCTGTTATAAGTTCATTACAAACATCCGATATATTCAAAATATATTTTGAATTCTAGAAAATTTAATATTTCTCAATCAAGAATGTTAAATTAAATAAAAAATTTGATTTACTTAAAAAGAATTTTTCTTCTGCTCGAATCAAATATTATATTTATTTGTAATAAGAAAATTACGGTTATATCTTAACGAAACAAATAATTCTTTTGTTATTATTTTTCCAGTTTAATTTATATGTTTGCTATTTTGCATACTCATATTCTGTCTTATTAACTACAATTAATTATTGAAAAATCGCATCGTATCTCTACGATCCCTAGAACGATAAACCTAATATTATATTTACGCTGAACTAATCGCACATTTGTGATCGAGTCATGCCAACGGTATATTCTTACTGTAATTATTCTTAATTTCATGACAGTTTCATATTATTAATATTTGATGAGGTTACATGGAAACGAAATAATATGTTGGTATTTATTAATTCAAAATAATTAAGATAACCATTATATATAAAAACACATTATGGAACAATATAAAAGTCATGTTGCATTATATTGCATGCACAATTTAATCCCAAAATAAATATTTATTTAAATTGAAGATATAAATTACTTCAAACAAGAAAAAAATTTCTTATTTCTAAACTATATTTCGCTTTTCTTAAATCTGTTGTATAGAATTGAAAGAAATATACCAAATTTTTCTGACCAACTAAATTTTCTCACATCAATATATTATTAAATATTCAAGTTAATCGAATCTGTGACTTTTCTTTGATAAAATTTTATAATATACTTCAAAAGAGAATAAATAAATTCTTATTTCGAGTATATGATATTGAGTTATTTTAAAACTTGGGATGAATTAAGACTACTAGCGAGAAAATATTCTTTATTGAAAGTAACCGTTACTTAAAAGAAGAAAAATAAAATAAATAATTGCTTTTCTTGGCAATAGAATGATATTTTTCTGTGTGTACCTGCAAATTAAAGTAACAAATTTAATACCAACATATTTCTCAAAATTAATAATAAATACACATTTGTAAAATTAAAATGCGGCTTTTGCAAGAATGCAGTGAATGCTAATCGTCATGTTATAATTCTAAACAAATTATGAAGAAGTAATTTTGACGGTCGTCCCTAGAGAGAGAGAGAGAGAGAGAATGCAGCATAAATTATAATTTAAGATATGATATAATCTATTCTATAATCCCTCACCTATTCCATAACCGCCTCCTTTTCTCTATATTTTTTCAGAAGTTGCACAATCTTGTTTTTTTAAGACAAACTCAACTTCGAATTGTCTTATCTTCCGGTTATATCTTAAAACGCGATTTATTTAATTGTTTACTCAATTAATAACGGTCTTTGTATTGCTCTTGTGTTTCAGGGCCGTGAAAGCGTTCCAGCAGGTGCTATGGGTGGAACCAGGATTTCCACGGGCCTGCGAGGTTCACCTACGGCTCGGCTTGATGCTGAAGGTCCACGCTGAGTTCGACGCCGCTTTGAAGCACCTGACCCTCGCCCTGATCGATGCCACCACACCTGCCTCCTTCTCCAAGCTCGAGAGTAAGTCTCCTTTATTCGTCCCCTTTATTCGCGCCATTAGCCGGGAAACTCTCAGCCAACACCCAGCCGCACATCGCAACTCTGTAATCGCTCCCTCACTTTCCTTCGTCGAACTTGACCGCCTTTTGTTCATTGTTCATGTCACTGAGATGACTCCCACGCGATCGTCTAGTTCAATAATTTTGTTAATATGATATATTACAATAATAAAGGGCTCGAAATAATATAAATTAAAATTTCATAAAATGACAGGGTACTGAAGAGCTAACTTGAAGAGCAGGACTTGTGGCGTAAATTAATTTATATATTCCAACGGTAATCACATGGAGTTATTATTCAAATCCTAATCTCGTAAATTCAAACTCTTTACTTTGTTTCGACTACTTGTTCGAGTCCTCTTCAGAAATACAATAAATCTAGTTACGACTTGATCTTCTCAAGGTAGACAGCTTTTTGATAAGCTGTTTCTGGAATAATTATAGCTGCTCACATGACAGTTGGAAGACTGTGTAGAGGATCTCTCTGGTTAAGCTGACAAATGGAAATTTAAAATAGGCTTTTCTCTCTAATAATTAGCAGAAATTCTTATTCTGGTAAAAACTTACCGATCGTGGACAATTTGTAGTCGGTCAAACATAACAGATGTACACAATGAATAAAAAGACTTAAAGTCAGTCAGTGTAATAGTAACAATCATATAAAATTAAGTACGGTAAATAATATAAATTAATAAAAATTATGTCAAAAAACTGACAATAGAATATTACCATAGAATATTTCCATAGTCAGAGAATAAAATTGATTGTAATAACTTAAATAAATTATAATAAATTAAATTAAATTACACGTAAGCGAACACGACACTGACTGAATAAACTGATACTGCAAAATCGAATACTGTTGATTATCTGTATGTATGCTTCATAAAGACCCTCTGTGTCTGTTTGTAAATTGAAAGTTTTCCGTTTATTTGTTTTTTAATATTAAGCATTTAAGAGGTTAAACGTTTTCTGAAAAAAGTTTTACATCGTTTTAGGCAAGTACAATTTTAAGATGTCATGAACCAAAGAGAGTTGCATTAGCATCTTAAAACATTATTTAAGACGGTCTTAAAATAAGAACGGATTATGAATACCGCCGTATAATTGATTTTTTTAATGCAAGAAATTTCTCACAATCGATATTTTAATGTTCCGTACAAGACATCTTAAATATAATATATGGCATTTTAATTGAAATTAAAGGAGATAGACTATCAAGTGAAGTTTCAATTTAATAGTTGGAATTTTATTGCGATAGTATAATAATAGCCAATCGTAAAAGCCATCCTTTTGAATAAAGAAACAATTCTTCTGTAAAAATGTGTGGTTATATCGCTCTCTGTCATAAGAATTATAGCTTTTATACTAATACAATATTTCTTTGATCAGTATAACGAGATGTGTGTGATTGGACTGGAGTCATTTATGAGAGTCATACGAGTTTTACTGGTTTAAGATCTTGTCTATCTTTCGCGCACGAATTCGTGACCAACTTTCGGTTCTATTAACAACTGAGCATAAGATGCATTTATTTAATCAAAATAGCCAGAAAATTGACCTGAATATTTCAATACTAAACTCAAACTGAATTCATGGATATAACGAACAGTTGAGATGTACATATTTCGTTAAAGTGACACGGTACTGAACATCGGAACTCGAACTTTACAGAGAGCAGATTAAAATAATAATATACACAATAGGCTCTCTGAATTCAAAAAGAAAATGTATCGGACGAATAAGAGATTGTCTTTTGTACGAACTTATATACAGTCGATTTCATAGCCTTTATTTTATTCGTATGAATAATCGATCGTTGAAATCTTCATTATATCTATCTTTACTATTATATTTAATTTATTAATTTCGTACATGACTATCCACAGATAGTTTTATTGTAATTCTCCACTTCTTTTGGAATTTAAGCGATTGGGCTTTGCAACCGGCATGAGCGATACAGTCATTATTTCCTCATTGGAGCTTCAGAAGTAACGATTATATTAATTTTATTCACTGAAGATGGCTCGAAATAAAGTGGAAATGTTTGACTCATATTACTCGTATACCAAGAAGAATACATTCAATAATTAATTTGCGCTCCAATTGCTGCGCTCGATTCTCATTCACAAGCAGATATTAGTAGTAATAGTAGCGGGAAGGGAATGAGTAGGACTATATCAGTCTCTATATGAACTCTTCTCTGAACCTAGTCAAACAGTCACCTAGATCTAAATGGACTTTCTACAAGTCTTAAGTCGCAAGAAATGGACCAATCACAGTCGAATGTAAGTAGAAATTACTTATGATTGGTCAATTTCTTACGACTTAAGATTTAAGCTTAGATAATGGCTCATTGTAAAAAGCCTAAGAGTTTTTTTCTTGGGACCGCCGCTAAATTAGTATAATATGGATTACGAAATTTTTCCATTTATGCGGAATGCGGGATTTAAACTCGCGACTTATCAGTTACGAGTCCGTCGCTTTTACATGAAGTCATACGATATCTCAAGCAGATGTTATATCACATTTTCTGTTAATTTCCACGGACTTTGCTTGCAATGGGATCTTAATTTGAAAGTCACAAAGATGGAAACTCCTGATTAGTGTGTCATTTTTCCCGGATGAAAAAAACTGATTGTAAATTCAGCGAGAAATCTGTCATTAATGTTGAAATCAGGCCTCGTGGGGATTCCCCCTCTCCTCGTATATAAATGTATGTAGAACAAGTTCCTTGGCAGCTGGAGGTTTCTCGCGGATGAATCACGCTGATGATGACTATGCCGATTCATGATTCCGAATTGTACTATCCACATTTCTCACGTGATGATTCGCGCGGGAATCATTCTCCTTCGGATACCGGGAATTTATAATTTCCCACCGGAAATCGCGCTTTTAAATAGCTGACCCAGCGTGGCTTGCGCGCCAGTCTTGTGCACGTGCTTATTGCTTTCGGTTCACCACCGACATGATGAAAATTAATTAACAATAAAAGACATTAAAATATTCATGTAAATATACAACTAATTAACGAGAAGGTCAGTCTGTCAGTCTGAACCGGATTATAGTGCTTAATATTTTCATGTGAATTTATATATAACATCTAGTTTTGTAAACTGTGTGCCGAAAGAGACTTTCGGTCTCGAAGGGCAATCTTAAACTGAAACTATTTCTAGAATCACAAATTAAATTGGCAAGCGGTTTAACGATGTTGTATTGCGCTAATAAGCGTCGTAAAAAGTTATAAAAGTTATAATTTCCTGAAAAATATTACCTCAGCCAGGATTCGAATCTGGACTTCCCTACATTCGGTTCCATGACGAGTGTCTTTACCAATTCGGCTATTGAGAAAACTGTGGAAAATTAATCAAATCTCGAATTAACACTGTGTGATCGATCATCCCTCTCCCTCAAGCTCGCCTTCGATGGTACATATCGGCGTAAATTGATTTCGTTTTTTTCTATCGAAAGTTTCACCGAAAAATCCTCTTCCGCGTGTTTGTTGTAGTCAAGTTCCACGTCGCTCACTTATACGAGGTTCAAGGCAAGTATCGTCTGGCCAAGGAACATTACGAGGCCCTGCTGAAGGAGAAGCTGCCGTTGCATCTGAAGGCCGATATCTATCGTCAATTGGGTAAGCCTGTCGTTAATTATTCCTTTTGTTTCGTTAAGAAAAAAAGAAATATAAATCAATGGTTTTAATGTGTGAGTAGGAATTAATTTAAATTTTTTTCAAAGAAAAACTTAATTTATAAAAACAATATCAACTAAACATTGCAAATAATCGTCAACTTACAAAGGATGCATTTAAGCGAAATCTGAAAATTAGAGATTTTACTTTTGAAGTTTAGTTTTTTGCGTTCGCTAAGCTTGACGTTAAGATCTATTTGTCAATATTAAGACGAACGAAAAGAAAAGGTAAGAATTGGCCTGCTAGAATATTTTATATAAATATTGGAAAATCTTGTACAGAAAGAAAAGAATGAAATATATTTTGTTCGGAAATACTTTGAGGTTCCTCCGACACATTCGAGCTCGGGGGAGTGCGTAAATATTTCATATATAAATATTTAAAGTATTGTGGAAGGAGGAATGTGAAACAAAAACATTACTTTCGGAAAGTTCTACTTGAGAAGTTTCAACATTCTCTAGGAGCGTACATATTTAACACAGAGAAGCCTACGATAAGAGTAAAAAGGTTTCATCTGATAAATTCATTTATGATTTTTAGTCACAAATAAGAGTTATAATTAAATTTCTAATTCAAGTTAGAGAAATATTTACAACACTTTCGCAATAATTAGATAAATAGGGTCTTATAATTATCGCCTATTTTAGAATTTATTTCAATTATTCCGCTTTCTATTCTGCGTCAATTATATTTAAAACATTATAAAAAGTTATTAATTAAATTACATTTTAAAAGAAAGTTGTGTGAAATAAAATTATCTTTTGATATAACTTCTCATGTTAATAAATAATATAATAAATTGATTTGAAATATCAGAGTTATCGTTGTGTTTACCCAATCTTTTATTTATTATTTATTAAATTAAATTGTTTTATTATTTGTTTTATTAAATGAAGACAAGATTTGAACAAAAACGATAATTTCGATATTTTTAATTGATTTATTATTATTTATGGATATGTAATTGTTCCGAAATATAGTTTCCTTAAAAAATATCAGATACAAAGAAAAAGTATCAGTAATAATTTAGAACAGAATGTTAAAGTTTTCGACGTTGCAACTTACTTCGTATTACTTTTGAAAATATTCGAGGACTCCGCGATCCTAGACTTAGGGGGAACACTTTAACGTTGACGATTATCCCTCCGTACCCGGTCGCGATTCGGTAGTCTATGCGCCAGTCTAGTACAGAAATGGGAGGAAGGGAGAGAAACATAGGGCAGGTGCGAGAGAAATAGAAACTAAGGGATAGTTTTCCCACAACTACCCAGCCTCGTTCCCTCTCTCTCCGACCCATTCACACGGCCTCTCCTACCCTCTTTGTTCCTCGTTCATTCACTCTCTCTCCTCCTTCCCCCTCCCCGAGTTGCCTCTCCGTCTCATCCCTCAGCCCACCCTAACCCGGAATAAATCAATACACGTGTCTGCAGACTACTTGGCAGAGTGCAGCCGGTCCGCCGAGAGCCTTCAGCCGAATCTGTGAGACTGAAGGCTCGACGAGATCCAAAGGAAAAATCATTCTTTCCCTTCTCCTTTTTTTTTTTGTTTATCAGGAGGCGCAGGTAGAAAGTTAGCAAGAAAAAAAACTTATTTTTCTCTTTCTTTTACAAAGAAAAACCTTTCTTTCACCCCCTTTTTCTATTCATCTTCAAAAAAAAAAGAAAAAGAAAAGAAAAGAAAAGAAAGTTTCTAATGAATGTCCTTGAAGATTTTCAAAAAGTTAATTGTTGTAACGTTATATATGCACTTTTTCCGAGCAACGCGACGTGTCTCGAACTTTTAGGCCTCGGTCGAGCGTTTTTTTTGCTATCCTTCGGAACGGATCGCTTCACGATGAAAGTCCGCACGTCCGTCTCACGAAAAATGCGTCTCTTCTTTCGGGGCTGCGCTTCTTCGAGGACGTTGCGAAGCGTTGCGAACGGGACATCCACTGGACCGTTTATGGATCCTCGCGTGTCGGCGAACCGTCCTGGTCGCGACCGGTCCTGCTTCCCTTTTTTTGGAATTCTGTCTTGTTGCTCTCCTCCATCCGCTCTCTTTTTCCACGGTGGTGGAGAAGGAACGAAAGAACGAAGGTTTCCTCTTTCTCCCTTAACATAGGATGTGTTTCATTGTGAGGAATAAATTCAATTCGTTATTACATATTAGTTGCAATACGAAAGATTCGCATAATATTGACAATGTATAAAAGTAAGTCAGAGTTAATATTTTGCGAGATATTTTCAAATTTTGAACAAACTCTTTTTTAGTCTCATCGGTCGATTTTTTTTTACTTAACATTGTGTTATATTTTATTTATCTAAATATGTCAAAATATAAAATATAAAATAAATCTCTCGTAACTGATTTCTTTTGTTATTTTCATGTAAAACGATTCCCAACAATGCTATCGCTGTTGAATGATATTACACTGTTATTGAATTCTGTACGTTATATATCAGAATTTGAATTCTCTGTGGTCAGTATTATAACAGAGAGCATGTTAAATGATTTAAATTTTTAAGTAGTTTTGTGTTTTACTATTTCATATCATATTATATATATTTTACTTAAGTGTAATGAGAAGGTATACACAATTAGATATCACATATTCCAGCATTTTAAAATGAATTTCACAGTGTGCTTATTGTTTTCTTTTCTTTTAAGTTAATTAAGTTATTTGTGTTTATAAATATCTAGATTATACACACATTTTGTCATTAAAAGTATGAAATGTATGAAAAACTTATGTTACATTAAATAAAAATAATCTACTTCTTTGTACGTAAAATTTACGTATTGATAGCATTTTTAGGGAATTATTGTAGAAATTATTGTTATGAAAATTATTGTAGAAAGGTTTGTGCTACAACAATGGGTTAACTCATATTTTATAAAAATAGAATAAATGAATTCTAAAGTTAAAGTGATGAGAAAAATAATACTAATGTCACAGGGAGTTAGCCCCATAATGTCGTCGACCATATGATATGATATTTTCTCCATCACTTTAATTTTAGAGTTTATTAATTTTGTTTTACAAAATGCAGGTTAACTCACTTGCAACAAACTATCCTTCAATTGTATAAAAATCATTTTAATTAGGACAATAATGATGTAAATATTTCATGAAAGCTTTCAATAATCTGTTCTGTATTTTTGGTTTAATAATTTGTATTGTACATGCTTCATTTTTCCTTCAAAGCTTTGATGAAGCCTTTTTTAAAGTTGCAAACACAAATATAAATGTTTGTGAAAATTCTAGTATTTTTGAAATAAAATTAGTTAAAATATTGGGAGAATGTTTTGGCATGGTTAAATCGACTGACAAATTGAAGCTTTCGGGACCCGACCATAGCCAGGTGGACCGATTTAAAGGCAGGTCGGGCAGATTTGCAAATCGAGCGCATATGGGATGTGATGTTTAAGACAGGTAAATACGCCAGGTGAATAAATAACATTAAAGGTAGACGAGCAAGTGAAGCGGCGATGCGTATCGCACGATCAGTACTTATTTTAATCCCGCGAATAAATATTCTGGCGGAAATATTTCCAAAAGAGTTTCAAAATTTCAGTGTTCTCTCTCTGGATTAAAATATTATGTACTATAAATATTAAACGCGAAAGCTTTTTCGAGTTTAAAGTAGTTATCATAGATCCACGATACACATTTTAATCTAAAAGAAATTTTTCAAAACGTTTTCCTCAAAAATTAAAATTTTTAGATTTCATTTGAAACAGAGTTTGGCAAAAAGATGACAGAAGCTTTGCATCCATTTAATAATTATTATTAATTTGAAAGAGTTTTATATTTTCTTCCATCATTAAAATAAAATGGTTATTAAAGCTATTGAAAAGATAAAAAGAAGCGTAAGTGGGTTAAAATTAACCGATCGAGCGACTTAATTAACTTCAGTTCCCACGTGCGGTTCCGCCACGTGTTCACCTATTTACGGTCGTACATTTATTGTCGCGAATAACAACTTCTTGCCGACGCCCCGCTTTTCCCACGACGATTAATCCGTGGGGTATCAACAGGTAAACACGCGTCGCGCAAATATAGTGACCATAAATCAACGTCCTGTTATATCGGAAACGCGTGGAAGGATATTATTTTTTTTTATTACACACACACACACACACACACACACATAGAATATACATATATTATATACATATATATATTATATAGAATATATATATATATATATGAATATT